CATAGCTATCTGTTTCCAATTTTCTGTATAAGAATGTATCAATAAACAAAATCAAAGAATTAATAATTTGTAAGATATTTTAATTTCCTATACATGGCACCTGCTCTTTTATTTCAAATGCGGTACTGTTGATTTTTCTGCATAATACATTAATCTTCTGCTGAATACTTCGCAGAATCAATTCGAATAAACAATATATGAATATTAAAATTATCAACGTGTTCGATAAGGTTAGCTTTGAATTGTTAATGCGGAACACGATGCAATAAGAGTGCGCATAGCGCGCGAGCTCAGCCACAGGAATGTTGGCTATGCGCTAATAAATTTCTACTCTTGATTTTTGCTCTATTTTGACCGATAAAACTAGCTTCGTCGGCTGGTTTATACTTATTAGTAGTTGTGAGTTTTAGAACCATACACTGACGGATGCATATTATATTACCGATACGGCGTCGATTAATATGCACGTCTTTATTTGTCGAGGATTCTCATGACTAATTCAAAAACTAAGCACTAGCGAACACTTTGATACAGAAAAATCTTGTTCGCTATCATGTCAGCTATTACTGACTGCAATTATGTCAACGTGTATTTAAACTCACCCTTCAGCATAATCAGGAGTTCATGGAACTAAAATCGAACAGAGCCATTTTAGAGCACGCGTCGAAAAGTGATGTGTCGATGAAATAAACTTAATACTTATTGTTAGTGTACCAGATGTGAAATCAATTTTCATTACTGTTAGTGATTCCGATGGGTTGTAAATGAATAGGCAGTTAAAAGGACTTCACTGTATACAGAAAAAAACACTAATGAATAAAAGTGTACTTTCATTCTCCTAAAACCAACAGACTTGGATATTCTACCAGTCTTCCTCAAACCTCTGCTTGGAAGCCCAGCAGAGAATTATTCTCTCTTCTTAATTGAACTTTCAAAGCTCCTTCAACGCAACCCTAAAGCCAATAGTTTTTTCCCTTAACCGATTTCCGCTGTTCCGAACCACATATCATAATCGTTTTCTGTAAACCTTATTTGAATAAACCTCACATCGAGCGTTACAATTATACATATTTTCGCGGTTTCGTTCTCGATCGCGAGGCATATGTCGCGAACGGTTGCCATGCAACGATGATATGTCGAACGACTGCGGTGCTGCGTCGATCGACAGTCATCGTTCATTGTCGAAAGAAACGTGTCGAAATAAAACGTATCTTTGCTTTTAATCGAAAATTTCGTTTTCTTACTTTCAAGATAGTATAGTTTAAATTATTTATGAATATTCGTTCACGTGTTTTCATTCGTCCTATTTGCGTGTCGGATTCACAGTGAAAATTAGCGCAAATTAGTGAAAAATGACAGAGAAAAGTGATAATGAGAACGAATAATAAAAGATGACAGTGATAGGTGACAATGAAGATTCTTGAGAGTTTATTGAGAGTTTCTGTACGGTGATTGATTTATACTAACAGTAAGGACTGGTGGATCGGCCCGGTGACAAAGGCGCATTTTTATTGTGATTATTGTGAGGTTGGTTTTTACAATAGGTTGGTACGAGTAGTGTATGAATGAGGTTGGTAAGAGTGTAGAGTGAGTGAAATTGGTGAGAGATATTTTTTGGGTTGGCTGAAGTGGAAAAGAAAAGGGGATGAACCGGTGTGTGAAAGATGTCCGTGGAGTGTGTCGTTTGTAAGCATTAAACTTTAAAATTCAAATTACGTTTATTAAATATATATATAAATATAAATATGCGTATAAAGTCGTCAACAACATTATTTCCCCCACAATTATTTGCGGTTTAATGGGATTATTTGCGGTTTAATGGGTGAGCTACATTTAAATTTGTTAATTATTCAATTCACATTTTTATTTGTTGAATAGAAAAGTTATTCAATTTTTTAAAAATGAGAATTTATTCTTTTTCGTCATTACAATATCTAACGAAAATGATTTTCCATATTTTATCTATTATTTCTTTGCCATAACGAATAAACGTATCGAATAAATTCGATTTATTCTGATTACGTGAGTAGGGACTACTTTTCCTATTTCTTATTCGTGAATGAATGATAATTCAACAATAATCCAGACCTTTTTATTCATTATTCAATGTAACTTTCATCTAATAGCTTTCTATTATACCGACGTTATACCGACAGTATCGATACATTTGTTCACGACGACGCGCGACCGGCCTATACGCGCTCTCATTGGTCAGTATTTTTCATTAATAATTCAAAAACTAAGTTTTAACCAGCATTTTGGTAAAGGAAAAAGTTGTTCAGAATCACTCCAGCTACCACCCCCTAAAATTATCCACCAGTAGCCGAACACCCTATATAATACAATATCGGTTCTTCAATTCGGATACTTTGTAATGAGAAGGTAGAGTACCGTTTAACATACATATCTATGCTTAATTGTTCACACGTTTTCATTCGATCCGTTTACCGGTCGTGCTTATGTTGTGCAATTATTAGAAAGAGTCAGTGAAATAAATTGACAGGATATTGGCCCTGCCAAGCTGTTGGTGCTGTTATCGATGTATGAACCCGATGACACAAATATTTTTCATTAAAACTGATTTTCTCGTGGATCAATGGGTAAGTTTTATGTAAGTTGTTTCTACATTTTTAAAATTAAACGAACGCAGGAATTGATTTATATCACTTCAGCGAGTTACTGCATTAGACATTCCATTTCAGTCCTATCTCATTTTATAGATACGGTACTCATTCGTTTTGAAACGTGAATTTATTCATTTGCTTCATTAGAATAGTTGACAAAATTAATTTTCATGATTAATTTTATTCTTTATTCCTTTTCGAAGGCATTAAATAAATACAATATACGTGGTCTGGGTAAACAACAACTAATTGGTCTTTCTCCTATTTGAGAATAATGAAGAACTATATATTATTCTTAACTTTTCAGTTCATTATTCGATTTAACTTTCAGCTAATAGCGTTATATCGACGCAATATCGATAGCCTTGTATACAACCACAATCGGCCGTTGCACTGGAAGCTGTTACTCATGCTGTCGACCTCTTAGTTTATACACGTTCTCATTAGTCAGTTTCTTTGCTAGTAATTCGAAAATGAAGCCTTAACCAATATTTTGGCCAAGGAAAATATTTTTCGGAACCGTCTCGCCTACTACTTTCTTTCGGCTCTTACACTAATTCCAGGGGCACTCACAAGGGACATTACCCAATCGACACACGCCGATTTTGATGCGTTTTATTCCGTGCGGCGCGGTGGTGATTAAAACCGCGTCACGCTCATACCTGCTACACGTACAATAAATATTAAGAAATCAATTAACGGCATATGGAGAGCTATAAAATGTCAAAAATATTGTAAAAGATTGTAAAAATAATGATATTATTAATAAATATGCTGATTGCCCTTCTTCACAGGGAGTGATTTTAAATTATACATATATCTAATAAACATTGCTACAAACACCAAATTCTAAAAACATGTATCCTCTATTTTAGTCCATACTTTACATACACAAAGTTGCAACAAAATAGATCAACATTTAGTACCAAAATTTAAACAAAAATTATTAATTTCCAAAATATTATTTAAACGAATAAAGTTTATTAACATTTTTTTACGTACTAAAATTTTCCATTTAAAGTCCATCGATTTAAAAAAAAAAGCTTCCAATTATCTCCATTAATTCCAGAGATATTCCCAAAAGTATGATTTCAGCCCTTAACTTTGAGGGGTATTTTCACCGCTTCAGTGTGAACGATTGCCGTTAAAAAAGTATGTATCAAATATTTTTTTGCGTTCTATATCATAATCAAAGCGCATCAAAATCGGCGTGTGTCGACTGGGTAATGTCCCTTGTCAATATACTGCATATTAAAAATTTGTCCGTACTGCAATTTTTTTCAAAAACGTACTCCCTGATAAAACTTTGATTGATTTTTTATATCGTATATGTAGAATACCTTGAGAAATAATGATTACCATAAAAAAAGATTCATATGCAGCGTCAGTGGGGTATGTTTTTGTCCTAAAGGCGGCAAACGGGCGTATCAAAAATTTAGCCGCTCTTAATAAAAATTTATTTTCTCACCGGTCAAACGGCATAAACAAGATAATGCGTGGTCCAAACGTCGCAAACAAGATAAGCCAAAAACAGCAACGCAATCAAGAGATAAGGAAAGTATAAAAGGAGAAGCAGTTCGGCGCGCGTGGCATTATTAATACGACATTCTTAATAACCAGACGACATTATTTGGAGCTCGGGTTACGCATCACGATACACCGCGGAGTCGGATATCGAGATCGTTCTATCAATACCATTGTAACATTAATAGCTCGTACATTGTAATATTGTGTGGTTAAGAAATAAAGTTTTTTAAAACATAAACTGGGCGACTTCCGGCGTAACAATTTATATGGTGTACATCCACCGAAACACTGTATAGTTAAGAAAAGTCTGTTTGGCATATTTGCAATTAAATTTTGTATAGTTTCAAGCTTGATTCTCGCCCATGGTATTATAATGCCATATTTCAGGTGAGTAACTGTATTGTATTGACGGCAATTACTGTAGATATTATAAGAAGAATTCCCCATAAATTCTCTATTGGATTTAGATCCGGTAAACGAGATGGTCAGTCCATAATCTTTAAATTCTGATCCTTAACCTACTTCAACATTATCGTATTGGAAGGTACATTTAATGCTTGGAAAGTCAAATATATGAATATAGCAAGAATTGCTGCATTTGCCTTATTGGCATAAAATCTAGGAGAAGATCCGTCGTCTCTTTAATTGTTATAATGAAAAACAGCTATTAATACAATAATATGTTCATTCTTAATTTATCAAGACCCATACTTTAGAAACTACTTTCAAAAGATTTTAATAGCTATTTTGTACATTTTCAGTACATAATTATATTATACATATTTAATAATTTGAAATTTCACTTACGCAAATTGTAATACTTTTTCAGTAATAGGTTAAAACACTCACCGATAAATTCCTCTTTTACAAACCGTTATGGTATATTCACGTATTTTTCGTAGTTTATATCGATGAATGTATTTTGTTGAAAGAAAAAGGAAAGTCGCGCGTAAACACAAAGCTACATAAAAATTACTCGTAATTATCACTTCAGTTTGCTACAAAAAGGAACTATCCGAATTTTACAGAGAGATGTGAACAGATGAACCCAACGACATGCACCTTGTGATTTTGTATCGAAATGTGACTTCTCCGTCATGCTAGCAAGGTCCTCCGGGTCCTTTCGAAGACAATCCTGTGGTGGGGGAACTGGTGCCGATAAATTATAGTGCGAGATAGAGACGATGGAATCCATAATTAATTATTTTAATCGTGTATGTCATTTTGTTTCTTCCTTCACAGCTTTTTCCTGTTTGGCATGTCCTGTTTGGGATGCTTCTCTCTTGCACGTACCTACGTCTGAATATTTCTCGACGCAAAATCAAATGTTTCTGAATTCGTTACCGAATTCCTCGTAAATTGTCTATGCCACAAAATATTGAATTCTTCGGTTCTTTTGTGAAAGTGCCTTACTGATGTCTCTGGTGCACGTAAGTTCCGCTGCTGTAACTTGGCTAGAATTTCTGCCCCCTACGGGTCTTCTGCTTGCTCTTTTATACCCCGAAAATTCGGAATTTGCCTTTTACTTTTCAAGTCCACGCAAGCTACCCCTATGATAAATGCGTACAATTTTTACATATTATTTTTAATTGATTATGTAGACATTAATTAATAAAGCAAATATTTTTATTAATTCGTTAGTAATATATTCTGACTAATATTGAATAATTTTAACAAAAAAATGATAATTTAATAATAATTTAATTCGAAATACATTCTCTGTCTTTTTCTACTTGCTGTACGCGTATCGTACAAAGACATAGGCTAGCGAAGGGCGTGATCTTTGTTTAAAATATTACGTCCGATTTGTATTTCTTTAGACTGATGAAAGAATGCATTTATTGGATTACTAATCATTTATTTTGATTCTTAATTCATCAATTCAATATATTTTAATATATAAATAATAATTATTAATAACCTAAATAGTTTATGTTTTATTGTCTGATTAAATAATTCATATGGTAATTCTTTCGACACATGGCGCAATCGGTAAAAAAAGAAACAGTCAATAATAAAAGTACTGAAGAATAATCAAAATGATGAATTTACAATAAAGAAACTAAATATACATCGAGATCCCTCAGAGTTGAATCTTCTGGGATGTTACAACTTCCTCCTTATACCGTCTCTTATCCTCAAGACACATGTTTCCAGTTTTTGGGAAACGCTGAATAATGCATTTGCAGCAACGGCAGGTTTTTTCCGTTATTCCTTGAAGATGCTGTGCCTTCTTCAAATAACACATCTTCCAGTGCTTACGCCTTGCGTCACGGGTGGGTGGTCTTAATATTTCGATATAATTCCAGGCGGGGGGATATAAAAAATTTCTTAAGCTTCCATTCTCTTTTAGAACATTTCTCGGGATGAGGAATATTGTTCAGATTATTATTGTGTATTTAATGATTGTTCATATGATTTCTTCTTTCTTTCTTTCTCTATCTATATATATGTGTGTGTGTATATTTTTACCTCGGACTTAAGTTTACTTATTAAAATTAGAAAAATATATTATTAAATTTTTTTTCTTTATAAATATATACGTTTGTAGGATTGGATCAGACGAAGTTGTCGAAATAAAAGGCCCGTAACACTTTGGTTTTTAAAGATATTCAATATACAGTAAAGACTGGATAACTGCAACAAAATCGGGACCCAAGCGTTGCAGTTATCGAGTCGACGTGTCGATTCTTTGTTTACATTTGTGTAACGACTCTGGAACCTAGATTCAGATAGTTACTAGCGCTAGGAAGGTAAAGAGCAGCTTTTACTCGTGTCGATTCTTTGTTTACATTTGTGTAACGACTCTGGAACCTAGGTTCAGATAGTTACTAGCGCTAGGAAGGTAAAGAGCAGCTTTTACC